CGCGCGCCGGGGGGGCGGGCTGGGGCCGGGGAGCCACTTCGGAACGTGGCTGGAGCAAGGCAGGCCCACTTCTGGGCAAGCGGCAGCGGGCCTGGGAGGGACGCTGCCCGCTGACTGCTCTGAACAATTTCGCTCCCCACTGCTGGGACCAGACAAAAACTTCTGGTGGGTTTTCTTTTTAGGTACCCTTTTATCTGTCATAGGGTGCGTGTACCCGAGACAGAAAGGGAAAGTCCCTCCCGCGGGGCTGGTTACACACAACCCCTCTCTCCACCTCCTCTTAGGATTCTGGGGATCCATGCACACACGCCGGCGAGCCTTCCAAGCCACCAGGTCCAGGGCTCAGACTGCAGTCGGCCATGTGCATGTCCATGCCCTGACCACGACACCACCCGTTGGCCCCATCTGGTGGGATTTTCCACGTGGCCCTGAGCCTCAGGGGCGAAGGTGTGTGGGAGCCCAGTCGAGCTGGGAATGGCCCCTGTGGACCACCCAGTGGCTTGAGAAGCAGGGCCCTACCTGGGCCTTAGCTGAGGGCTGGACCCAGGAAAACTGGGCTGGACTGTGCCACCCCACTAGGCGGCACATGACCCTAAAGACCGCAGGGCCCCTGGGCAGCAGTCGCGGCGGCCTTGATATTGATACATGGCCCAGGCTGGCCTGAGCCTCCCCAAGCCGGGCCCATGAGACCTCCTGCTGGGCAGAGAAGTGCCTGTGGCCCTCCGACCCACCCCTCCAGGGGAGCACTACCAGCCTACGCTGCAGTCAACGGCTGCCCGGTCCCACCTTGCAGGGAGGGGCCATGCTCAGCCTGCAGCACCAGCCTCCCCACGGCAAGGGCAGGATCTGCTGGGTGTCACCCTGGGAAGGGGCGGGGCCACAGAGCAAAAGCCAGCAGACAGTGGTACAGGGCAGACCGTGGTGGCCCCAGGATGGAGGTACCCACCAGGCAACCAAGGGCTGGCCTCCGTGACCACCCTGGGCGGCTGTGCCCAGGAGGATACTTTGCCCACAGTACAGGCCACTGCTTAAATGGTGATGCCTAACACAGCCCTCCCCTCCTGACCACCTGAGACCCAGGAAATGCCCTGGGAAGAAACAGGCTTCTGCCCCTGGGCTGGGCTGGCTCTCGCCCAGCCACTCCTGGGGGCAGCCTGGGCACGGGCAGCTGTCGAGGTAGCCAGCACTTACGAACCCTGCTCGTCTCCCGGCAGGGGGAGGCTGTGCTGAGAGCTGGGCGGGCAGCATGTGGGGGAGAGCCCTGGTTCAAGGCCAGAGGACCAGGACCCCCGGCGGGGCCCACTCAGGCAGGTGTGCCTCCACTGCACACTGGGGAGGCGTCACCATGACCCGACTCACACTGGGCTTGTCTGCCCTGCCGGGCGGAGGCCTGAGCTCGGCCGCTGCTGCAGCAGGTGGACATCTATGTGGGGGAGGCCCTGCTGTGTGGCCCGGAGGGAGCCAGTCAGGTTCCATGGCGCCATGGGGCGTCATGCTGGTGCAGACAGGCTGGGGGTCCAGGGAAGGCAGAGCTGCCGGACACACGCCCCCGCCTGACCTCCCATGAGAGCCCCACGTCACCAGACCTCCTGGTCACCAGACCTCCTGCTCCTGGTACCCGTTCTCGTCCACCGTGGCCTCATGCACACACGGCTCCTGACGCTCAAGGGGCCTGCCCTGCCCTGTGTTGGCCCCTTGGGTCTCCCCTTCATGGTGCCAACAGGGCTGCCACCCGCTAGGCTGTAGTCCCCACTAACCAGTAAATCGTGTAGGCCTCTGCTTGAGCGGGGTCTTGGATATTTGGTTCGTTTAGAAGTTCCTGTATTCCTAGTAAGATCTGCAGGGGAGAGAGAAGCGTGACGTGTTGGAGGCGGAGCCGCGGCTGGGACGGTGCGGACCCGGCTGTGGGCAGCGGCCGCGGGCAGCCCACCTGTTTGATTGTGATGGCCGGCCTCCAGTCCTTGTCCTCCTCCAGGATGGACAGGCACACTGTGCCGGAAGGGTACACGTTCGGGTGGAACAATGGCGGCTCGAACTTGCCTGCAAGTGGGGACAGAGCATCTCAGGGGGGTGTCCCAACTCGAAGATGTCCCTTTTCCCCACTGCCCTCCCGCAGGGACTGGCTGCCAGGCCAAGAGCTTCCAGAAGAGCCAGAAGTGGCTATGGGGCGGCTCCGCCGGCACAGCCACAAGCCTGAGCCCACAGGGGCGAGGCCAGGCTGGCCTGGGTGCCAC